TCAACGCAACAATGACTTGAATATTTATTTTAACAAAAAAATAAATATAATGACCACCAGTCAAGAGATCCTCACAAAATGCTTTTGAATAAAATTTCTTTTAAAATGTATCTTAATTTCCTTTTCATTCAAAACCTAACTATTGCACGTAGTCAAGAAAGGCAGAAACAGTAACTATACACTACACATGTATGTTACAGCACAGGCTTGATTTGATCACTCCTCAAAATGGCTGGGTGAAAAGCATTGTTATCCAATCACCATGGAAACCAGAGCAGAGAGAGCTACATTGTATAAATTTCAATCACCATATTAATTGCCCAATAGGTGTTAAATTTACTTGTAAAGGCACTTACATGTCATTGAAATCATAGTGTGTCTATTCATCAGCAGTCTCCACTCAAATAAGTCTACCACGATAGCATAATTAATGTAACTGATAACAGAACCCTATTCACAAACTTAGAAGCACAACTCTGGACAATTTTTTTTCAAAATTTGCCTAAATATACTTTTTCGTCAATTTTTTCCTTTGAAGATATTTTGAGAGTCAACTCCTAAAGCTAGCTATCATTTTAATCATTGTATTTGACCATGTTGGCACATGTGTCCCATTCCCTCACTTTTGCATGATTTTTAGTTTGAGTGCATCACTGCTACAAAAATGAAATGAAAGTAGAACAGTTTATATTGTTACAATGATGATGCAGGCTATGGTACTTCAAGCCAAATTCAAATGTGCAATGCATTATGAGAGAGAACTTCCCATTTTATACAATGAAAAACTAGTACACTAGACGCTGACTAAATTGAATGTCAAATTTTTAAAATGTTTTAATAACATTAGAATTCATATCATTAATGGCAAACACTGTATAACTTTTTCATCCAATGACACAATTAAAGAATAAATTTATAAGCAATCATAGAATTCAGGTGGCAATGTTTTTGCAGAGTAAGTTTAAATCACCACTGCAGTGGTTAAAATGTGCAATACCAGCCATGAAAAGTAATGCTTATGGGGATGGAAAGCAATAAATCAGTGATAACATTGTGACATATATATGACCCTAATTCAACAAATGTGCAGTACAAATACAAACATAATGGCAGGTTGAATAAAAGCTGTAACTGTATATTTGGCAATACCTGTAACACTGGAATATCATTAATAATATCATACACAATGAGAAGTATCTCAGCATCAGGTACCAGACCATCTGGAGATGTATTGACAATATCAAAAGCACATTCTGTCATTTCCTTAGGGTGTGCACCAAAAAGTTTTCGAGATCTGTATACTCGTTCTATAGAATACCTAGAAACATAAACAGTTACAAATATTATGTCAGTGTCGATGAGATTTCACATTTGAGATAACTCTATGTATAATGGGTATACTACAATGCTCTCTCCAGTTAAACCACTGAGGGCAGTATTTAGGAAACACAAAGCATATAGAGCTCTACACAGGTTCAACGACTTTTTATCAAGTATGTACAACCTCCTTCCAATAAGTGCCTGTCAGGTTATAAGTTGA